CAGCAGCAGCAGCAGCACCAGCAGCAGCAGCAGTAGTAGTAGCAGCAGTAGTAGCAGCAGCAGCAGTAGTAGCAGCAGTAGTAGCAGCAGCAGCAGCAGCAGCAGCTTCAGGGGAAGGGTCATCATCATCCGCTTCAGGGGAAGGGTCATCATCATCCGCTTCAGGGGAAGGGTCAGCAGCAGCAGCTTTAGGGGAAGGGTCATCATCATCCGCTTTAGGGGAAGGGTCAATGATGCGAAGCATCTATCTATAACTCCTTGTATTTTACATTTTCATTCAAACACGCGTTTCAACTAGGTTTTTGCTTTTAATGAATATTGTGTCTAGTGCCGTCTGTTTCACCGTAAATCACCTGTCAACCGCTTGTTAATCCACCCCGTCTCTGAACGGTGTGAGCAATGTTTTCCTAGTGTGTTTTTTTACACACATAAAGCGCGCACACACGCACATTCGTTCGTTCGATAATTTCGTCAGAAAAACTTAACAAGGGGAAACGCGCGCAGCTGCACTATAGCTCTGCCCGATTGTGACATTTGCCTCTCGGGAAGCAGACGGGAAAAAACCGTCTGCGCCAGTCAATGGCGAATCGATACGTTTACGAGCGAAGTCATAACGTAAAAAGCCGCTGCGGAATGTATACGGAACGCAAAAAGCCGCCGCCGAATGTAAGCAGTTGCCTCGGAACGTACGCGGAACGTACGCGGAACGTACGATGCTTACGCGGAACGTACGCGGAACGTACGATGCTGACGCGGAACGTACGCGGACGTACGATGCTGACGCAGAACGTACGCGGAATGTACGATGCTGACGCGGAACGTACGCGGAACGTACGATGCTGACGCGGAACGGACGCGGAACGGACGCGGAACGTAGGATGCTGACGCGGAACGTACGCGGAATGTACGATGCTGACGCGGAACGTACGCGGAACGTACGATGCTGACGCGGAACGTAAAAAGCCGAAGCGGAACGTACGAGGCCGCCGCGGAACGTACGAAGTTGACGCGGAATGTAAAAAGCTGTCGCGGAACATATGAAGTTGACGCGGAACGTACGTGGAACGTACGAGGCCGCCGCGGAACATACGCAAAACGTACGCGGAACATACGAGGCCGACGCGGAACGTGCGCGGAACGAACGTACGAAGCTGACGCGGAACGTACGAAGCTGACGCGGAACGTACGCGGAATGTACACGGGACGTACATCCCTGCGCGGAACACACTAAGCGTAAAGGGTTTAGTGGACTGTATTGTAGTAAAAGGTAAGAAACCTCGCAGACGCGTGGTTGGGATTGCGATGTTTCTGGGGCCGTTTAATCACGTCTTTTTTCTCTCTCTCTCTC